CATTTTGCATCATGTTTACCTACTATTATTTATAATGTTTTAATGCATAATAATGCTTCTTGGAGTAATTCTAATGCCTTTTCTCTCATAATTTGCAAGGTTCACACAAAGAGGGAGAATTCCGGCAGCTGAAAATCTGGACCTGGAAAAGCTACGTCAGGCCACCTATTCTGCACAACTCCAAATAAGCTAAAACTTCACGGGGAATTTTTATGGAATAAATAAGAAATACTGGAGCAAATAACCACCGAAGGGGGGCACCTGGTGAGAACAAGACATCAGGGCGCGCCTGGCCCCCCAGGCGCGCCCTGGTGGGTTGTGCTTAGCCCAGCCCACCTCTGATGCCCATCTTCTAGTATATAAGTCATTTTGACCTTGAAAAATAAGGAGATAACTTTTGGGATGGAGCGCCGCCGTCTCGAGGTGGAACTTGGGCAGGAGCACTTTTGCCCTCTGGCGGAGCGATTCCGCCGGGGGAACTTCCCTCTCGGAGGGAGAAATCATCGTCATCATCATCACCAACAACTCTCCCATCTTGGGGAGAGCAATCTCCATCAACATCTCCAACAGCACCATCTCATCTCAAACCCTAGTTCAATCTCTGTACCGAAACTATAGATTGGTGCTTGTGGGTGACTAGTAGTGTTGATTACATCTTGTAGTTGATTACTATATATGGTTTATTTGGTGGAAGATTATATGTTCAGATTCAACATGCTATTTAATACCCCTCTGATCTTGAGCATGTTTATCACTTGTGAGTAGTTACTTTTGTTCTTGAGGTCACGGAAGAAATCTTGTTGCAAGTAATCATGTAAACTTGATATGTGTTCGATATTTTGATAGTATGTATGTTGTGATTCCCTTAGTGGTGTCATGTGAACGTCGACTACATGACACTTCACCATATTTGGGTCTAAGGAAATGCATTGTGGAGTATTAATTAGATAATGGGTTGCGAGAGTGACAGAAGCGGATCCGTAAGGGACCGATTGGATCCAAAAGTTTAATGTTATGGTTAGAATTTATTCTTAATACTTTTCTCGTAGTTGCGGATGCTTGCGAGTGGGTTAATCATAAGTAGGAGGTTTGTTCAAGTAAGAACAACACTTAAGCACCGATCCACCCACATATCAAATTATTAAAGTAGTGAACACAAATCGAACCAACATGATGAAAGTGACTAGATGAAATTTCCGTGTACCCTCAAGAACGCTTTGCTTATTATAAGAGACTGTTTCGGCATGTCATTTACCTCAAAAGGATTGGGCTACCTTGCTGCACTTTTGTTACTATTATCGTTACTTGCTAGTTACAAATTATTATTCTAACAAACTACTCTGTTACTTACAATTTCAGCACTTGCAGACATTACCTTGCTGAAAACCACTTGTTATTTCCTTCTGCTTCTCGTTGGGTTCGACACTCTTACTTATCGAAAAAGCTATAATTGATCTCATATATTTGTGGGTCATTAATAGTGGAGCGCCCGTAGTCATGCATTGGGATTGTAGGCGTTTGCACTAAACCTTGATAGCAGTCCCGGGATCGATGTTGTAATTGTTTGTCCTAACTCATATGATCAACTTACGCCTCCGATTTTCAACAACAATGTCACACTCGCATCGCTAATCATATTGCTAGATCATTATATATATTGGTAGAATATAGTCTGAACTACCATCTTCAAGATAGTTGCACCCAAAGGCTAAATACTCCCATAGCTTCACACACTGAAATGAGCATGAAGTTGTTCTTCATATCATCATCAATTATTTGGCCCTCTACATTTGCAGTAACCATAGCCTAGCTACGAAAACATCTTACAATTTGGGACGGAGGTAGTACAACACATACACACATGATATCTTGTACGGGGGATGACTCAAAGAAAAGGCATCATCAACGGGAAGAAGTAACCGGCCAAAGGAAAACAATTCAAGCATGACCCGCATCACACACACACAACACTAAATTATAGTCATCTTTCCTATCATTTGAGCTAAGCAAACACTAAATAAAAATTGCACTAACTATCCTTTGAAAATTAGTAGAAATTTAGGCTTGGCGAGAAGCTGTTGAACGGCTTGAAATGCATTTGGAGTCAGTGTGTGCGCGTCTATACACCTATTTTTATCGCAAAACATCGTAAATTAACATTTTTTGCTTTGTGCAGTCTGAAAAATCGTGTAGAGTAATAAAGATATAAATCTAATGTCAGGTTAGCAGTCCACAAAAGGTTCTATGGTCTAGCGGTTAGGACATTGGACTCTGAATCCAGTAACCCGAGTTCAAGTCTCGGTAGAACCTCATTTTTGTTTGGTTTTCGTTCTTTTTTCTCCTCATGTACAGTAACTTCCTCGAGTAACTTCTCACATGTTCAGACAGCGATAATCTTTTTCAGATAACCAGTCCCTTTTCCCGTCTGCGAAACAAATCTGTAAACGAACCGGTTCAGAGATGAGATAAAAAGAACCAATAAAATCGTAGGAGAAATTCAAAATATAAAATCGTAGGAGCAGCACTCACCGCGCATTATCTCCAACCGAAACACGGCCTCCTGACGACGTCTACATGGCCGCAAGTTCATCCTCCAATCTTTTCCCACGTCCCCCACCCCAGTTTTCTCCTCCATTTCTCCCTCCTCCCCTGGCCGCATCTCCAGGGAAAGGAAACGAGGCTCAGGGAGGGAGCGTGGCACGAGCGCGCCCACCCCTGAAAAATGGCGGCCTCCCTCTGGCTCCCTTCTCCTCCTCTTCACAGCGCCGTCTTCCTCTCGACCAACCACTCCCCCTCCCCCTCTCCTCCTTTGGCGCCTGCGTCGACTCTGCTGCAGAGGAAGCACGCGCCGGCCAGAGCCAGAGGCAATCTTGCCTGCAGCTCATCCGGCAGCTCCTCGTCCTCTGCTTCCTCTGTTGTGACCAAAGATCAAGAGGGAGCAGCAGCAGCAGCAGAGGCGACGGCCCCTGCCCCTGCTCCGGCGGCTGTCAGATACGACTACAAGGATGACCCCAACTTCAGGTACGGGCTGCTGTTCCAGGTCTGCTGAATTACTGTCTCAAATTTATCGAGCATGTAACTGTCGGAATGATATATGACAATTTTATTGAGCATGTCAGTGTGTCCCCTATGTAAACGTGAACGTTATGTTTAATTATGATTATGTTCAACATCGCATCAACAAATGGTTCCATGGTCTAGTGGTTAGGGCATTGGACTCTGAACCAGTAACCCGAGTTCAAGTCTCAGTGGAACCTTATTTTTTATGATATTTTGATTTATTTTTGCCACTGTGACAGTACGTTTATTGACTGAGACCACAGCCTATTGTTGTCAACTTCTGCTAAAATGAGTCTTTCGAGCTCCTAACCTCTATAGCAATCTGCCGCAGCAAATTTAGACTACTTGAAAAAAAATCAGTTGGATTTATATAGCCTGCTTCCGGTTTCAAACAGACATAACGTGTTCTTTCTAACTGTACACAGGGGGTGCAAAGGGTGCGGTCGTGAGGAAACAGAGAGGGGCTGCAACGGCGAAGGGCGGATCATGGGCGGCATAGCCGCCGTCCCCTTGTTTGGGTGGTGGCCGATCAAGGCCTACCGGCCGTGCCCCGGCTTCGTCGCCTCCGGTGGCCGGTACCGGCGCTACGGCCAGAGCATGGACGACGTCATAGCCGGCAAGGGACGGAAAGTCGCCTCCGACAAGAAGAAAAGGTACGCCCGATAACCTGTCATCAAAATCTTGTGTAGCTCAAGAGCAGATCTCATCTCACTTGGATTTGCTACTTGCAGTGACAAATGATCCACCTCAAGGAACTGCAGTGCACTTGGCCATGTTGTGTAATAGCTCAAGGAACTGCAGTGCAGCTGGCCATCTTGTGTAGCTCAAGAGCTTATCTCATCTCATCTCACTTGGCCATGTGCTGGAGAAGGACGTCCAAACCTCTTTGATTTTGTTTCAGTCTTGACGTTGTCTAGCTAGGTCAGATTATTCGAGCAGCGTTGCCTGCTGAATCAATTCCAATATGGAAGTTTTGTACGTAGCTCCGCATCGACGGCAAATGTACTCCACTCTTCTACCTGGTGCTAATGTTTACATCTTGCTTGCCAAATCTAATAGCGGCAAAACAGTTCCAGGAAATTCGCCTTTTTGAGTTTCCACTGCTCGATGACAGAGATTCATTCACATAACAGCCAAAACAATGGCCATGTAACCACCAGATGAGCAAATACAGCCAGGAGGTGTCAACAATGGTCACTTCTGACTTATACTCCCTCCATTCCCTAAATACTCCCCCCATTCCAAATTACTGGACTCATATTTATGTAGACACTGATGTATCTAAACACTAAAAAAGTATAGATACATCCGTATTTAGACAAATTCAAGTCAACTAATTTGGAACAGGGGGAGTATAAGTCTTTCTATAGATTCCAATATGGACTACTGACGATGCAAAATGAGTGAATCTACACTCTAAACTATGTTTATATACATCTGTATGTAATCCATATTGAAATCTCTAAAAAGACTTATATTTAGGAACAGAGGGAGTATATGCTTGCTGCTTCGCTGACAATAAGCCGATTTGTTACATCATGTTTCCTACAAGCATGACGGGAAGAAACAAAAAGCTCCTCCTGCCTGCTTCCAGCAGGAAGGTTCACAAGTGAAACAGATCAGCCAATGCTGAAACCAGACTGGCATTTCAATGTTGCTGTCAAACCTTCTGTTGAATTTGGTTAGGTGGGGACTCTTCTATCACCGTATCTTCTCTTTCGACGAGATACACAAAAGGACTAGTAACAAAATAAGTGACCAGAGACAGGCCCCAACTTATGAACAAAAGTCGGTGGTTATGTACTAACTTTTCGCATCCCTACTGTGCACTAGAATCTAGCGTTAAGAACTTCGCAAAATGCAGTTGGTTACGTATGGATAGAACCAGAGCATGACAAACTCCCAGCAAAAGGAAATCGCATGCGGACATTTACACGCTGTCAGCGCATGTGGGGAGGCTTGACTGCAAACGAAATATTTCCAGGAGTTGCTGCGATCGGGTGACTTCCAGGAGTTGCTGCAATCGGGTGACCTCCAGGAGTAGTAGCTGCAAATGGGTTGCCTCCCGGAGTTGTAGCAAACGGGTGACTTCCAGGAGTTGATGTAAACGGGTTACGCCCAGGAGTTGCTGCAAATGGATTACTTCCCGGAGTTGCAGGTGAGCGAATGGTTGGTGAACCCTGCACCCTCTGTTGAAAGGAAAGAGCATCAGTAAATTGGGGATGTATAAATGAAGAGAAATGTATAAATCTCTTGAAGCTCTTGCGACATACTACATGAGACAATTGAAGTATTTCCCTTTTTTTTAGAGAAAAAGGTATCTTGGTATCAGTAGACATGGGAAGTATGTAAAACTGATCAATGATGATTTGCCGCCTAACTGCTGCTTCCTTCGGAGTTTGTCACACTAATGTGCAGCACCTTAAAATTTCATCTTGAAGAGAAATGTATAAATCTCTTGAAGCTCTTGCGACATACTACATGAGACAATTGAAGTATTTCCCTTTTTTTTAGAGAAAAAGGTATCTTGGTATCAGTAGACATGGGAAGTATGTAAAACTGATCAATGATGATTTGCCGCCTAACTGCTGCTTCCTTCGGAGTTTGTCACACTAATGTGCAGCACCTTAAAATTTCATCTTTGCCAAACCGACCAGAGCTAATAAACATCAGCATAGATAAAGCATTCAACTACGGGAGAATCAAGCATGTTTGTATTCTCCAAAACAATGATTAAACCTCATAAACACAGGAACCAAAGCCTATCAGACTATCCGTATCCTCTAACCATGCTATCACGTACTCCCTCCGTTCCTAAATATAAGTCTTTAGAGATTCCACTATGGACTACATACGGATGTATATAGACATATTTTACAGTGCAGAGTCACTCATTTTGCTCCGTATGTAGTCCCTTATTGGAATCTCTAAAAAGACTTATATTTAGGAACAGAGGGAGTAATTTGGAAGTCTAAGATACTCCATCAATATCATGTTGAAACCAATAGATTACTGGCGCAGCATTGGTAATGCTATTGGTC